TTCTTAATTTTCGTAGTTGTATTTTAACCAAAGAATTCTCAACGACGAAATAATAAAGAAGGAATTTGTATACTTGAAGTCGTTTATCCAAACTCAAGTAGTTGCAAAAAAACTTTGTTTATACTAAATACTCGTTTGATACGTGTGATCCTATTAAACTGTCGGTCGGCCAATTGCTCAAAGGAACGCTCGGCGCTACCACGTCTGGAATTAAGTCTGCAATAGGGCGAACAAAAATCAAAACTGACTTTTTGTAATTCTACTACAATTTAAATCGAAAATAATTATTGGTTTTTTTTTATTTTATCCGAGAAAAGTACTAATTGATTTATTAGATTAATTACCAAGTTAATTTTTGGTTCTCTATTATAAAAAAAGGTCAGATATTTTTTAAAATATTTAGATGTAATGTTTAATGTAATTAAATATTTTATCTACAACTATTGAATTATCTATTCGTTATACAATTGATTTTTGACGGGTAATGACACTCATTACCCATGACAGAAAAAGTGTTGAATAATGAGGCCATTATTCCACACTTCTGACACTGCCTACTAATCAAAAAATAAAATATTAACAGAAATGACAGCTTTCTTATATTGAGGTTATGTCTGAAATGTCTATCAAGTTTATTTTTTTTTCGTTTTTTTGATTTTTTTTTCAAAATTAAATAGTTGTAGATAAAGTATAGTATTCAACTTGCGTATAATGGATGTTACCCACTCAGATTACAGCTCGTGTTGCAACTTCTTCTTCGTGGGTAACAGCCGCCATTATACGCTTGTTGAATAATATACTATTATATGTTAAACAATTTCGTGTTCAATCACATAAATTCAATTAATCTTTTATTCTGAGTATGCAACTTCTACTACAAGTTGGATTTCCAATTTTATTAAATTCATTCATAAATGATGTTTTTCTCGTTCGCCGTTAGAGGCAGCACGAGCTAGAGCAACCCAACTCGATCGGTTGAATAACTATGTATATCTATAAACAAGGACCATATTTTAGATTAGATAGAGTGAAGAAAAAAAAAAACAATGAAAAATGCTATGAAAATAAAATGACTTAAGTAGTCGCAAATATTGACAAATAAATTATATTATCCCTCAGTTTTAGTTCACATTTCAATTACTATACAATATTTATGTTATTTAAACTAAAATGTGATGGTTCAACCAAAGTAGATAGATCCTTCAGAAATTTTGTATAGGACCATAATTTCTCATTTTGAACAACTTTTCTTAATAAAATTTTTCAGTATCATGAACAGAAAGATTACTTTAGCTAAACTAAAAATAGTTTTCGATTCATTGTCAAGACCGCCTTTGTTTACAAAATATGAAAATATTCTTAAAATTCTCTTCACACCAAGCAGGGCTTAAATTACTTAGCCTTAAAATAAATTTCAAAAATTTTTAAGTCATTATACCTCTTGTAATATCTATCCTGGAACACACTGTATATTATTTTAATACAAAGTAGAAACAGTTCGACTTGTGCTACGAAGTGAAGGCTACAGGAGTAGATTTAGTCGCACGTCTCTCAAGACGGATAAATTCGAATTATTCTAGTTCTCTAGGTCTTGTGTTAATTCTAGTGATAGAGCTAGTGTAAAACTAGAACTATCATTAGACCTAGAGCTAGAAATATTCGGGCTTAGCCGCACGTCTCTTAAGACTGCTAAACCCGAATTATTCTAGTTCTAGGTCTTGTATTAGTTCTAGTGATTGTGCTAGTGTAAAACTAGAACTAATACTAGACCCAGAACTAGAAATATTCGGGCTTAACCGCACGTCTCTTAAGACTGCTAAACCCGAATTATTCTAGTTCGAAAAATATACAACATAGTCATATCTTATGCTAACTAGCGCTACTTACCACTATCTCAAGAACTAACATTAGACTTAGAACTAGAAACATTCGGCAATGGTATTCTCCGGGTTCATCGTATTAGTAATAATAAAGAAAAGGTGTCGATGAATGAAATTTATTAATTTCTTACAATGTTTAAATCAGTGCTATACGTATTTCGAGCTATAAGCTCTTCATCAGGCACGACTATAAGAGACAATTATTTTAATTAAGTTATATAAGAAATTAATTAATATTTACCGTCAATTAAGGAATAAAACGAAAGTTAACATGTGCACATCACAACGAAACAGCATTTCAAGCGGATAATGTATAAAATCCTCTACTCAAAAGCGAGTAGCAAAAGATAAAAGCGAAAACGAAAATATTCACAAGTTATTTTATTAAGAAGATACGTGCGTGGGAGTTAAAACAGGACTGAGGTAACAATGGTAACAAGAAGATGAGGGCTAGCGCGTGTGTATAAAGTCAAAAAAAAGGGGGGGGGGGGTTATTAGATAAATTTAAGGAAGTTCCTATATTTGTAAGGAAGATATAAATCTTCTATATGTCTATAAGTTTAAATCTGTTATTAAGCTTCATAAGCCAGATCAAAATATAAGACCAATTATAAGCAACAACTGCACCTCCACCAGTAAATTAGCAAAGATACTCCAAACTTATCCGTTCAAAACTGTTCAAAATCACTTCATATGCAATATCAAAAACTTAACGGAACTTATTAATAAGACAAAAAATTTAAAAATCTTAAAAAATTATAAACTTATCTCTTTCGACATCAAAAACCTCTATAGTAACATACAAATCAATTCCACCATTTCAATAATCAAAGAACATTTAATTTACAATAGTAAAGAAGTTGAACTCAATATCAATGAAATAAACTGCTTTTTTAAACTATTAGAAATTACATGTCAACAAAACTTGTTCTTATTTGATGATAAATTCTTTTATATGAAAGACGGACTGCTCATGGGTTCGCCTGTTTCCGGAATACTCGTTGATGTTAATAATTTCGAATAAGAACTTTTCTCAAAAAAACATGAATCTTTTACTAGTGGTATAAAATTCTACTGCTGATATGTTGACGACATCTTTGTGATTTATGACGGTAATCCTGCATTGTTACATGGTTTGAGTAACCTCCTTAACAATCTATGGGATTTAAAATTTACTAATGAGCTTGAAAAAGATGGACAATTAAACTTTTTAGACTTCAATATCAATAAAAATTTAGATAAAGAGTGTCTCGATTTTAACATTTATAAAAAAAACACGTTCACCGACTGCATCATGCTATCTAACTCCTATAACTGAGCTCAACATAAATTGGCCAGTTTTAGATTTGCATTCCATTGACTCTGTAATACGCCGTTAAACAAACAAATTAAATTTCAGAACTCAAAAACATCATAAAAATAGTCTTTAATAACAAATTTAAACTTAAAGACATACAGAAGATTTACTGTTCAATCACATTAATAAACTACTATATCCTCATTACAAAACACCACCTAAATACATTTCAATTCCATTTAATCCTGGATTACAATTTAAGTTTAAGAAAAACCTTTCCAAATACAATCTCACACCAGCTTTTACCTCTAATAACAATCTAGGTCAGTTGATTACTAATAACAAACAGAAATTCAACCAGTTAGAACTTAATGAAGTTTACGAATTAAGATGTAATGAATGCGAACATTTTCACATAGGCCAAACTGGTAGAAGCCTTAAAACCAGAATCAAAGAGCACTTTACCAAAGAGTCTTCCACCTTCTTTAAGCATTTAAGAAATAACAACCATAAATCTTCTTTGGAAAGCGCCAAACTTCTCAAGATAATTAAAAAATCCAGAGAACTGGACCTCCACGAGGAATATTTTATACGTATTAATAATAAAAGTGATAATGATTAATGACATAACAGAATTCAACAAATACAGTAACTTCCTTAAATTTGTCTAATAAATCGCCCCCCTTTTTTTTTGACTTTATACACACGCGCTAGCCCTCATTTTCCTGTTACCTCAGTCCTGTTTTAACTCCTACGCACGTGTCTTCTTAATAAAATAATTTGTGAATATTTTCGTTTTCGCTTTTATCTTTTGCTACTCGCTTTTGAGTAGAGGATTTTATACATTATCCGCTTGAAATGCTGTTTCGTTGTGATGTGCACATGTTAACTTTCGTTTTATTCCTTAATTGACGGTAAATATTAATTAATTTCTTATATAACTTAATTAAAATAATTGTCTCTTATAGTCGTGCCTGATGAAGAGTTTATAGCTCGAAATACGTATAACACTGATTTAGACATTGTAAGAAATTAATAAATTTCATTCAACGACACCTTTTCTTTATTATAGAAATATTCGGGCTTAGCCGCACGTCTCTCAAGACGGCTAAACCCGAATTATTCTAGTTCTAGGTCTAGTGTTAGTTCTAGTTTCAGTTCAATAAAAATGAAAACATAATGATATCTTATGCTAACTAGGCTAGTTACCACTGTCTCTAGAACTAACATTACACCTAAAAGTAGAAAAATTCAAGATTAGCCGTTTTAAGAGACGCTCGGCTAAATGGAATGTTTTTAGTTCTACGTCTAGTGCTAGTGTTAGTCCAGTTTTAGTTGTTATTCAGCGGTAGATAGTTGTATATTTTTATTGAGCTATAACGAACATTGATAGACTTTTTTTAGAACTGTATGTAGACTTTTTTGTGTTAAAGATATGATTATGTTTTGTGTTCAACTTGATTAATAATAGCTTATACAGTAGTTCTATAGTTATTCTAACTATAGAAGTTAGAATATAAAAATTGGTATAATTAGTTAACTTTTATAGTTAGAGTATAAAATTCATGCGATTTAGTAGTTTGAACATATCCGACGCATTATTTATGCTGAGATAAGTTTGAAAAATCAGTAATAAAATTTTTTTTCCTCTTTGTAACTCGATCTGGGGAAATACTGTATATATAGTTTTTATGTAAAATATGGAAATAATATGGACTTCTTATGTTTTGTTAAAAAATTTCATTGAATTACATTTCGGGAACTGAGATATTATCATTTTCCGGACTGTATGTAGACTTTATTGTATCACTGTATATTATTACTTACACTCTAAGAACTGATTTCCGTGAAATATTTAATTCAAAATACGATATACATATTGTGAATAACCCCATAAATGTTGGAACAAGTAGCAATATCGTATAAAACTGCAACCAGGCGTAAAAAAAAGCAATTTCCGATCCGTAATATTTATAAATAATATGAGTCGGTTGGTATTGATAAAATTTTAACCAACTTGCCCAATATTTAGCTAAAATCTTTGAAGCAATTTTAGATTTTCGAATTAATAAATGTACTAATCAACTTGTCTATCGCTTAAAGGTCCAGATTCGCTCCATTTTAGTGGACTATCATGTAAAGGATAAGCATCGTGGAAGTTTTTATTGGCCAATAAGCTTCCCAAACCATATTCATTTTGTAATCTACCATATCGCGTCCTCTCTAAAACGCAACTAATTAACGCGATTCTTTCAGCGCTTGTAAACGTCGTGGTTGCTTGTCCTCGAACTGAATTACTAAAAAGTTTCTAATAAAATTTATTCAATTAATTATTAAAAATCAAAAACCTGCATCTGCGAAACATCGGATCTTGAAGCTTTGGTTTTAATGATATCTTAGTTTTAAAAAAACTGAACCATTGGGAATATTTCGGAATCGTTCTGTCGTGCTGATACGTTGGATACAATCCGTGTATTTTTGCTATGTGTGCAAAAGATTCATCGGAAGCGGTTAATTTGACAAAAATACAATCGGTGAATTTGACGCCATCAACAACTTCAACAGTTAATCCCGCCTTTTTTAAATTCGTTAGATACTGTGTATTTTGGAATATTAGGGCATCTGATATCTCAATTTTTTGAACCAGAATAAAATCTGCGGGGGGTTTCACTTCTGGTGCATAAAAAGAATCTTTACTATTTGCTGTCATTTTGATACATTCAAAATCACTTTTGACGTTTGGTTAAATGTTATCTCTGATAACCATATATATCATATATATATATTTATCACTTTCAAAAACATTTGGAATTTTTTAAAAATGATTTTTTTCGAAGTCAAAATGAAGCTTATTTATCAATATCCGGTTTATCAATATCTAGTTAAGTCGATTTATCTGTCGGTTAAAATTGTATCTAATAGATAACGCCGACGAATCGTTTATCCACCCGTAGTTGAGGGTTATCTTTTAGATAAATGTGACATTTGGATACCCACCAGATTGAAGTACTGGTTAAGGGTTTACTTATTAGATATTGTCAAAAAGATATGCGCGCAAGTTTGGTTGCTTGGTGAAAGGAAATGACATCAAAATCAAAATATAACATAATTCAAAGGTCAAAGTCAAAAATAAATTAAGCTATTGTGGTGGTNGAAACATATGAATTAATATTAATGAGTGGATAATAATTATAGGTGGACCACGTGCAGAGACATTCCGGAATCGAAAGGGCTTTTTTTCATTGAATGTTCAAACTGTGTCCTCGGTGGATTTAAAAATTTTGATAATTCATTATTAAAGCAAAGGTTTGAAAATAATGAGTATGGTAATGCTTTGCTAGTAGGTGACAGCGGATATCGTAATACCAAATATTTGGTAACACCTTTGCTGAATACCCGAAATAGAGTAAAAGAACTATATAATGAATCTTTAATAGGAACTAGAAATCCAGTGGAACGGCAATATGGCATGTGGAAGAGAAGATTTCCTGTACTTGCACTCAAGCTCCGATTGAAACTAGAAACTGCAATGACAGTAATTGTTGCTACAGCAGTGCTACATAACATAGCAATAAATGCAAAGGAAAAAATACCTCCATATGATCTTGGAATAAATGTAAATACTGTCGAGGTAGATAACCTTGATATAGAAGATGGTGAATTACTAGGAAATGCTAGAAATCAACTTTTCGCGAATTATTTCCCTAACCTCCTAAATTAAAATTTATAACATAATAATCAATTTTAATTAGATATTATTTGAATTCGTAATTATATTCGTATAATTTAAAGAATTCGTATAAATGTGGATTGTTGTTTATTAAGAAATACGTTGTCTATAAATAGTTGAATTTAAATAAAAAATACTATACTCAAATATCACTTATAAGATAAGTTATAACAATATAACAAATTATAAAAAAAATCCAATGGCGATCTAATCCCCAGATTGATATTGTGGAAATTTCAATTTTGCTATTTCCAATTCCATTTGAAGTGTACGTAATTTTACGGCTTCTTGTTCTTTTTGTATGCCAAGTATTTCCATCTTTACTTTATGCTCTTCTTCTGTCCAAATATTTTGCTTACTGAACTGTTCTGTGAGTGCTGTTAATAAACTTTCCTTTCTTTCTACCAAGTTTTCAAATTGCGTTGGTACAGATTTGTTACAACTTTTTTTTAATAACAGGTCTCCTACGGCTCGACCATTCTATAAAAGTAAGTATAATAAGCATCAAGTAACACCGTAGTGCATACCGTGCATAACTCTGCATAATCAGACTTACTTCTCAACTAATTTTCATTTTGACATTGTTTTTGCGTAATAACTTCCGAAGGAATTACTTCTATGATTGGGGTAATCTCTACTTCTGATATAGTGTTTGGAGGAATATTTTGTGTTTCCAAAGAAGAAGAAGTGTTATCCTGGAAATTACTTTGAAGTTGTAATGCCGGATGTTTTTCGGTTTGTAGCATTGCAACTTTAAATTCATTCCAGTGGCACATAACGTCTTCTTCTGTGACGTCCTTTGTTACATTTGTATCGATATTATTAATGTCCATACCATTCATTACTAACAAATGAATTTTTAAAAAATACCACCTAATTTAAAAGAAAAGGCATTTGCCTTTTTCATAAATCCTGTTACAGACAACAAAATTGTATCTGTAAGTTTTTTCACTTTCGGTGGATGGAACTGGTTCTTTCATTGGCTTTCCACCACACGTGCCTTTTAAGTAATTTTTGTGCCCAGAATAATTTTTATTTCCTTTTTTATCCTATCATATTTCATTCGCAGTTGTTTTGTAGTTCTTGGCTAAAGCCATGAATTCAGATTATTTTATATTTGTTTTATTTCAACGTTTTTACTTACTATTCCAATACTACAACAATTAAATTTTGCAGTAATTTTACCCCAACATTCATCTTTTTGTTTCCATGTTACAGCGTCGGTTCTCTTATTTTCTATTATATTTTTATATTTGTTTGCCAAATCAATCAGCAAGTTTTTTTCTGCTTTAGTAAAATTGGAGGATCTTTTCACTTTCTCCTGCTTATCCATCACCACAATAGCTTAATTTATTTTTGACATTGACCTTTGAATTATGTTATATTTTGATTTCGATGTCATTTCCTTTCACCAAGCAACCAAACTTGCGCGCATATCTTTTTGACAATATCTAATAGGTAAACCCTTAATCAGNGAGCAACAATATCCAAAATTTTTAAATCCACCGAGGACACAGTTTGAACATTCAATGAAAAAAAGCCCTTTCGATTCCGGAATGTCTCTGCACGTGGTCCATCTATAATTATTATCCACTCATTAATATTAATTCATATGTTTCGATTAAAAGAGATTGCTTACCTGGCAAAATAATGCTAATATGAGTACAGTCGATACTGACTATCACCCGTGGAAATCTAGCTTTTCCATAAAATTGTTCTTGTGATTTCTCTATTTGGTCACCAGTAGGCATACGTAGTTGGAAAATATCCTCATCTTCATCGCTTTCTAATAAATACTCATGTAAGAATTCCAGTAAAGAGGTTTTTGAAAACAAAGCACACGGGAATGACAACTCACAAATCAACTTCACAAACTAAAGTCAATTATTCAAATTTGACCAATCATGTTTTATTTCTGTTTCTAATGTTAACACTCAGGGGTACCATCTGTTTTCTATCTTGTTATTTGCTGCCTGTCGAGTAGAAAGTTGCTGGATAAACGCGTCACTGAGGTTATCTGTTAGACAAGTTTATCCATGAGTTGCGTATCTAACAGATTTAACTCGACATTGATAAACCGGCCCTTAATAGAAAGGATTATAAACGTGACTTATATACTAATTAAGTAAATTACGGTTATCTTTTAATTGTGTCAGCATTTTCTTCTATTGCTGCGACGTGGTGGCAGGTGTTAACTATATATAATATCATTTGTACCAACCCTCGACATCATTGCGGACATCTCTCAATCATTTTCTAGATATTTTGTGTCTTCCAATATCTTTCCAGATGTCATTCAAATGTACCGGCGAGACGATAGCAACAAACCGCTCAGCAACAAACTTTTTCCTTTATATTTAAACCTACTTCTAGGGCCCATATCTTTGTTATCTAGAAAGATAGCGAAAAACTATGTATACGGTTGGAAAGCTTGGTCTTTTCTCTATCTTAAACCGCCAGTTTTCGTCCGCCGATATGTTGATAATAAGAGCAAGAAAAAATAAGAAACGTCGCGCTGCGTTCAATTTACCTCAGAATTACCAAACTTCACGGCCTTGTGCAGCCGTTACGCGATGGAAATTCAATAAATGGTTTACCTATTCGGAAAGAGCTGACCTTGGACTATCTTACTCCGAGTTTTCGTCCGCCAATATCTATCAGCGTCTGTAAGAGAAACGCACCTGAAAAAGCAAATATTTCTTGCACTAATAACTTTCCTATTTGACAGGGAGAAAACTCTACAACTATATTCAGTTTATGGGAAATTTCCTGCTCTTTCCAACGATGTCCTTTTTTCTGACTATGAACTACCTAAACCACGAATTTTTGCCGCGGCTAAACCACGCTTGGGTCAATAACTCTCTTATATGAAGGGGAGAAAACTCTAGAACTATATTCATTTTCTCTTATGGGAAATTTTCTGCTCTTTCCAACGATGTGCGACGCACTTCGCTTACGCATTTGCATACGCGTTTTTTAAATTGATAAACTAAATATAACGCATGGCATGGTCTGAAATCACTTGGGTTGAATAACGTTAAGCGCAGCATAATACCTGGATCTCTCCGTCATCCTGACAAAATAAACCATTTTTTTGTAAACTCCATAACGCAAAATACATCAGTGGATAATGAGCTTTTTCAGTTTTATACTAGCAATAAGTTGATTAATGCAACTTTTTCTTTTACTCCAATTAATGATATTGATATTATGAAAAGCATATCTTCAATAAAAAGTAATTCTACGGATATAGATGGATTAAATATTGGTTTAATTAAGTTATCATGTCCTCATATTCTTTTATATTTGACTCATATTGTAAATTTCTGTATAAGTGAGAGTGTCTTTCCAGATTCGTGGAAGATTGCTCTGGTTAGACCATTACCAAAAATTAAAAACCCTATTGATTTTATGCATTTAAGACCCATAAGCATCCTTCCTGTACTATCGAAGGTAACTGAAAAGGTTCTAGCTTTTCAACTGCGTGATTTTATAGACAAAAACAATATCTTGCCAGAAATGCAGTCTGGATTTAGACCTGGCTTCAGCTGTACCACCGCATTGATTTCCATTATAGATGATGTGGTATCTGAAATAGACAAGGGAAATGCCACAGTTTTGTGTCTTGTAGATTTTTCCAAAGCATTTGACACAATCAACCATGACCTACTGTGTTCTATTTTGCAATTTGTTGGACTGGATGACGGGGCCGTTGAATTGCTGCGGAGTTATTTGAAAAATCGTCGACAGTCAGTTATTGTTGGTGACAGTATCTCGGGTGCGTTGAGTTTATCGTCGGGTGTACCACAAGGATCCATTCTTGGGCCTCTTTTGTATACTGTGTATACGTGTCATTTTAAAACCTTCATAAAATATTGTAGATCGCATTTTTACGCTGATGACACTCAACTGTACTGCTCCTTTCCGCCGTCTGATGTGACAGCTGCTTGTGAACGTATTAACTCTGATCTTCAGAGTATAGCTGATATTTTTGAACGTCACAATCTATACATTAACCCATCAAAGACCGAATTAATCCTTTTTGCGCCTAAAAGATCGAGACAGATTCTCTTATCCAAATGTGTATGTATCATCAGTGAATGAAAAATTATCTGTCAACATGAAATGAAGTTAGGATTCTCTCTCTGGTAAAACTTTGTCCCAATTTTTCCTTCATCAAATAAGAAAGTTAGGATAAGAAGTGATTGCGTTCTGCTACCTGTAGGTTGTCTTTCGGGTATGTTTCTTTTACAGACGCCGGCAGATATTGCCGGACGAAAACTCGAAATAAGACAGGCCAAGGTTAGCTCTTTTCGAATATGTAATAGTAAACCATTTGTTGAATTTCCCTCTGATAACGGCTGCACAAAGCCTTAAAGTGGGTCAATTTTGAGGTGATTTAAATGTAGTGTTTCGTTTCTTATTTTTTTCTGCTCTTATTATTAATATATCGGCGGATGAAAACATGGTTTAAGATATAGAAAAGACAAAGCTTTCCAACCGTGTGCTTAGTTTTTCGCTATCTTTCTAGATAACGAAAATATTGGCCCTAGAAGTAGACGGAAATACAAGGAAAAAGTTTGTTGCTGGGCTGAAAAACGATTGTGCAAACGTGTGATTGAGATGTGTTATATACCGATGAAAAGAGCAGAAAATTTGCCATAGGATGAATATAGTTCTAGAGTTTCCTCCCCGTCATATAAGAGAGTTATTAACCCAAGCGTGGTTTAGCCACGCCAAAAATTCGTGATAGCACGACGTTTCTTATTTTTTCTTGCTCTCATTATCACCATATCGGCGGACGAAAACTCGGTTTATGATAGAGTAACGACCAAGCTTTCCAACCGTGTGCTTAGTTTTCCGCTAGCGTTATAAATAACAAAGATATCCGTCCGAAAAGTACATAGATGGAAATACAAAAGTAAAGTTTGTTGCCAACTGTAGGCTCTTTTTCAGGAACATTTTCTTTACAGACGCCGACAGATATTGATGGACGAAAACTCGGAATAAGATAGTCCAAGGTCAGCTCTTTCCGAATATGTAAACGATTTGTTGAATTTCTATCTGGCAACGGCTGCACAAGGCCGTGAAGTTTGGTAATTCTGAGGTAAATTGATGCTATCTTTCTAGATAACGAAGATATGGGCTCTAGAAGTAGGTGGAAATATAAAGGAAAAAATTTGTTGCTGAGCGGTTTGTTGCTATCGTCTCGCCGGTTTCAAATGTCTGGTTTGAACAATTTTGCAACTTTATGGAAAGTGTTTTGAGCAATTTTAGATCAGGTTGTTCAAAATGATCCATAAATAGTAAAAATTAAAATACATTTTTGGAGAGTAAATTTTAATGAATTACAATAACTGTTAAAACATTACTAATAAAAATTAACACTTTATTTCTAAATTATATTAAACCTTTCCTTGTTTTGATGCTGCCTTCCCAGTCCTCTTCATAAAATCGTCGTATGCGAGAGCATCCTTAATTGTTGTAGGCACTTTTGGGATAAAAAATGAAATGATACTATTGGCAAAATAAACAACGTGCTGGAAAAGAAATTATTGATTATTTCTTAATGCTCTATGAATTACTTTACCATATAAACAACAATAACTACTAATCTAAGTGCGAGGAGTTCGTAGTATTTATGTGATTTTTCGTAGGGCTGTGTATGATTAAAACTGTTTTTTTGTCCAGTATAAAAACAAGTTTCAACGTTTGGATATTCAGCTCTTAATCGGTTTTTCATCTTATCGCTGTAATCATCAACTAAGAATACTGAAATGAAATATATTTTTAAAAATATTTAATAATCTATAAAAACACTAACTAGAAATAGACTGGTTAATAAATCCGCTCATACAATAATCATGTTGAAAATAATACACCATTCTGTCGACAAATGTAGTTGTAAAAGCAATTATACTCCCCTAATTAAACAAAGAGATTTAGAAAAATAAATTAAATTTCTTAGCGTCTTTTACACCAATAAAAAAGCAAAGTCTTAGGACTATCAGCATAACCCTCCTCCAACCAGCAATCCCATAAACTTTCTTCGCAACATTTCTCCTCGTTTTTCTAACAAGTGCATAAGCTGTCAGTCTACATTCAATCAGGTTGTTAATTACTGCTAATATCGGAAGAAGTGGAACCGATGCAATAAAAAATGTCAATAAACCAAACTCTAAAACTACAAATTTCGTTGTGAATTTTAAGTTAATTAATTTAAATGTTTCACCAACCGATTGACATATAACTTTCTGCAAGGAAAAGTGTATTTGCTGGAATTAAAGAATATTCATGTTCCCATTGGGGAATATTACTCCACTCTCCTTTCGCTTTCTTTGCACTTTTAATCCTTCTATACGCTCCAACAAAGTTCCTAATCAAAAATAAAGAAAATGAAACGAAATAAAAAAAATTTTTAAATATCTTACAAAACGCGATAAATATTAACTATAAGTTCTAAGATATAATCTCTCAAAAAAGTAAACGTAACATTTGCTGATAAACTAGCAACACAACCCATTCCAGGAGGACAAACATCAGCAGCTATACCAAATACGTCATCATAAACATCCGAATCTGAAGGATTCGTGTAATTAATTTCTTTAAAATATGCTGTATAAATCAACATTAAGTAACTATTTGCAAAATTCATAACGTAACTTTTAAAGAGGTACGAATTAAGATATCTTTCCCTAGTGCGATGGTACTCTTTATCGGTGAGTTTTTCTGATATTCTATCTAATTGCTACAAATAAAAATTAAAAAAATATATAAATATGATGTTGTTATAACAAATTACTGGTGCATATAACTGCATAAAAAGGATTGTTGTAAATGCGCTGTAAAATTTGACAATCGTGCCCGACCAATCCAACGCCCATGATATTTCATATTTGTGAATGGAATATTCCACGTAATGTTCCGTGATACAAATTAACCCATCCGTAATAATTACAGTGAGGAACTACAAATTAAATAAATTGTTTAAAATTTGAATGTGATACAGTGAAACCTCGAAATATTATCTATTATAGATAGAATCCAACTCGGGTTATTCCACAAGTTCGTTATATCGAGAATTTACTGTATTAAAAAATGCATAAAAAAAAAACTTACAAACAAGAAACAAACACTAGTTGAAATAAAATACCATCCTAATCGTTTAAAAATAGGTGTATAATATTCTTCAGTCTGAGTAAATTTATTATACCTCTTGTAATTTTTAACGCGAATTTTATAACTAGGCCTTAAAAATCAAATACAATTAAAAAATACGAAAAAGAAATTGTTTTTTATATACAATTCGTCAAGTTGGTCCGCTGATCTGTGCAAATTCCATTTGTATGCTAAAATGCTTTCGTGTCGATTCCATAATTCGACGAAAACGGTTCCTGTAAAAAAATTTATTCATTAATTAATCAAGTATTAAAAAAATAATTAAGTTATTAAATATCTTACCCCAAATTGTTAGAAAAACGGCGAGACCTATAGTAAAATTATTATCTATTATAAACGACCATTTTGCCACATCACAATATTCCTCAAGATTTTTGTAAAAACATTGTTTAAATGTACATTCTGGACATATTTTCATTTTTGAGAAACAAATTTCTCTCCTAAAAATAATTATTATTATACATACAGGGTGTACAAAAAGTATGGAATAATGGTTCTACAGCCTAAACTTCAACTTATATTAAAAAAAGTTTTAAATAAAAGTTACTTGAAACTACTTTCCGCATATCTTGGCGTAAAAGAAAATAAAAATCTTGACGGCAGTCTGAGTTACGACATGGTGAGTGTGTTTTTTAAATGGAACACCCTGTATTTTTTAAGGTTTTTGGATTTCTTTTGACAAGGTTGCAAAATGCTATAAGATTTTAATACTTTAAACTGCATAGTTTTCGAGATATCGAAACTTTTATTTAAGATACCTTTTCAAAAGGAATCCAAAAACTTTAAAATATACAGAGTGTTCCGTTTAAAAAACACACCCACCGTGTCGTAACTCAGACTGCCGTCATCATTTTTATTTTATTTCTACGCCAAGATATGCGGAAAATAGTGTAAAGTAACTTTTATTTGAAACTTTCTTTAATATAACTTGAAGTTTAGGCTGTAGAACCATTATTCCATACTTTTTGTACACACTGTATATTATAATATTTCGATGTTATTGACTTTGTAAACCGGGAATTTCATATAACTCATAATATATGAATAACTCCACATAAAATGCAACATAGCTTAATAGTACAGGCATTGGGTAGTTTTGTAAAGGAAATGTTTTGCTTAGAAAAGGTGTTTTTAACCTGAATGTTTCTGCTTTTAGGTTTAGAGTTAGTTCTACTTTTCGTTCAATAAAAATATACCACAATCTAAGCCTAATAAAAATTAAAACTCAACTAACACTAGTGCTACAACTAGAAACATTCGAGTTTAGTCGCACGTTTAAATTAGCATCTTTTTCTGACACGTTTAGGTTATACGAAAATGTAAGTTTTGTTTCAACATTTTTTTTTCTCAATATTTTTCCAATCCAACCCAACAATTATTATATATCATTTTAAAGAGAAAGCTTTGAGCTTTAATTTAGAACAAGTCTCATTCCTTAATTTTAATAAATACGGCTTCCAGGAATTTTTAAATTTACATCCTTTTTGACACTTTTAGGTTATACGAATATGTAAGTTTTGTTTCAACATTTTTTTTCTTAATATTTTTGCAATCCATCCCAACAATTATTACACACCATTTTAAAGAGAAGGCTTTGAGCTTTAATTTAAAATAAGTCTCATTCCTTAATTTTAATAAATACGGTTTCCAAGAATTTTTAAATTAGCATCTTTTTTGACACTTTTACGTTATACGAAAATGTAAGTTTTGTNTTTTTGTAAAAACATTGTTTAAATGTACATTCTGGACATATTTTCATTTTTGAGAAACAAATTTCTCTCCTAAAAATAATTATTATTATACATATATTATAATATTTCGATGTTATTGACTTTGTAAACCGGGAATTTCATATAACTCGCAATACATGAATAACTCCACATAAAATGCAACATAGCTTAATAGTACAGGCATTGGGTAGTTTTGCAAAGGAAATGTTTTGCTTAGAAAAGGAGCTTAGAGACAAACAGCTAAACCTGAATGTTTCTGATTTTAGGTCTATAGTGTTAGTTCTACTTTTCGTTCAATAAAAATATACCACAATCTAACGCTAAATAACAATTCAAACTAGAACTAACACTAGACGTAGAACTAGAAACATTCGGGTTTAGCCGCACGTCTCTCAAGATGGCTAAACCAGAATGATTCTAGTTCTAGGTTTTGTGTTAGTTCTAGTGATAGTGCTAGTGCAAAACTCGAACTAACAATAGACCAAAAACTAGAAACATTCAGATTTAGCCACACGTCTGACAAGACGGCTAAACTAGAATGATTCCAGTTCTAAGCCTTGTGTTAGTTCTAGTGCAAAACTAGAACTAACACTTGACCGAGAACTAGAAAGATTAGGATTTAACCGCACGTCTCTAAAGATGGCTAAACCCGAATGATATGGAACATAGTGATATCTTATGCTAACTAGCGCTACCTATCACTATCACTAGAACTCAGGTTTAGCCGTCTTAAGAGATGCACGGCTAAACGGAATGTTTCTAGTTCTAGTGCTAGTGTTAGTCTAGTTTTATTTGTTATTCAGCGCTAGATTGTTGTAAATTTTTATTAAGCTGTAACGAACACTGCGTTCCTCGTATCGAGCGACCCGTTTTATCGAGGTTTTACGCTTTACGAAACCAAGGCGTTTTTGTACACCCTGGTTTCTATAGAAATATATTTTTGTATATTGCATCTTAACCCTTTGTGTCCGAAAAAATCTCTTTGATAAATGGATATTAGGTGTGATTATTACATACCATTTTAAAAAGAAAACATTGAGCTTTAATTTAAAATAAGTCTTATTCTTTAATTTCAATAAATACGGCTTCCAGGAATTTTTAAATTAGCATCTTTTTCGACACTTTTAGGTTATAGGAAAATGTAAGTTTTGTTTCAACAATTTTTTTCTCAATATTTTTCCAATCCAACCCACCAATTAGTACACATCATTTTAAAGAGAAAGCTTTGAGCTTTAATATAGAATAAGTCTCATTCCTTAATTCCAATAAATACGGCTTCCAGGAATTTTTAAATTAGCATCTTTTTCTGACACGTTTAGGTTATACGAAAATGTAAGTTTTATTTCAACATTTTGTTTTTCAATATTTTTCCCATCCAACCCAACAATTATTATACATCATTTTAAAGAGAAAGCTTTGAGCTTTTATTTAGAGCTAGTCTCATTCCTTAATTTCAATAAATACGGCTTCCAGGAATCTTTAAATTAGTATCTTTTTTTGACACGTTTAGGTTATACGAAAATGTAAGTTTTATTGCAACATTTTGTTTCTCAATATTTTTCCCATCCAACCCAACAATCATTATACATCATTTTAAAGAGAAAGCTTTGAGCTTTAATTTAGAGCTAGTCTCATTCCTTAATTTCAATAAATACGGCTTCCAGGAATCTTTAAATTAGTATCTTTTTTTGACACGTTTAGGTTACACAAAAATGTAAGTTTTGTTTCAACATTTTTTTTTTCAATATTTTTCCTATCCAACCCAACAATTATTATACATCATTTTAAAGAGAAAGCGTTGAGCTTTAATTTAGAATAAGTCTCATTCCTTAATCCCAATAAATATGGCTTCCAGGAATTTTTTTGACACTTTTAGGTTATACGAATATGTAAGTTTTGTTTCAACATTTTTTTTCTTAATATTTTTGCAATCCATCCCAACAAATATTATACATCATTTTAAAGAGAAAGCTTTGAGCTTTAATTTAGACCTAGTCTCATTCCTTAATTTCAATAAATACGGCTTCCAGGAATCTTTAAATTAGTATCTTTTTTTGACACGTTTAGGTTATACAAAAATGTAAGTTTTGTTTCAACATTATTTTTTCTCAATATTGTTCCAACCCAACACACCAATTATTATACATCATTTTAAAGAGAAAGCTTTGAGTTTTAATTTAGAACAAGTCTCATTCCTTAATTTCAATAAATACGGCTTCCAGGAATTTTTAAATTAGCATCTTTTTTGACACTTTTAGGTTATACGAAAATGTAAGTTTTGTTTCAACATTTTTTTTCTCAATATTTTTCCAATCCAACCCAATAATTATTATACATCATTTTAAAGAGAAGACTTTGAGCTTTAATTTAGAACAAGTCTCATTCCTTAATTTCAATAAATACGGCTTCCAGGAATTTTTAAATTAGCATCTTTTTTTGATACGTTTAGGTTATACGAAAATGTAAGTTTTGTTTCAACATTGTTTATTTAATATTTTTCCAATCCAACCCGACGATTATTATATATCGATTTAAACAGAAAGCTTTAAGCTTCAATTTAAAATAAGTTTCATTTTTTAATTTCAAACAACACAGCTTCCAGGAATATTGGAATTAGCATCTTTGTTGACACTTAGATTATGCGAAAATATTAGTTTTTGCTCAATATGTTTTTTCTCAATATTCTATCAGATTTTCGTCGTTCTGTAGCTACAGGTCTGATAAATAAATATTCAAATTTACTGCGTCCACGAAAATGTCGTAGCGCAAATTCAAAAGAAAGAGGAAGTTGTGAAAATTGTTCTGCTAAAGCAACTCAAGTACCATTATCAGAAAGTTATCAAAAAGTTTCAAAATGTTTGACTTCTTGGGACACAAAGGGTTAAGTAAAATTCACTGTATTAGATGAATTGATATAAAAAAATTAATTATATTAATAAATTTTAGTTTTCTCGTTAATAATTACCGAAATCGGCCAATATTTAAGAGGTTATGAATCTAGCATGAACCCAATTGTAATACAATAAAAAGAATTTATAGAAGAAGAGAAATGTAAGAAAGATTTGGTTAAGAAACACCAACAAGCTTTTTCAGTTTCTTGGTGTCTTTGAAACACTATCAAAAACATTAAAATCAATTAGAACCATTTTGATTCAAACCAATCAACTTTTCTCATCATTTCATGTTTTTGAAAGCGCTGGAAAACATATTTTTTAATGCTATTAACATGCCTTGCTGTTAATTAGTAACACAAAGATATTTTTAATCAATTAGAACCATTTCGACTGACACCAACAACCTCTTTCTCTTTCTTGGTATTTTTGCATGCTAGAACTTGCTTATTTATTGATTTATTTATTACATATTCGGGATGCATACAAGGAAAATATCCCCAACAAAACATCTTCATAATAACGAAAATTAATATTAAAAGTAATCAGATACAAAGCTACCAATCCTGACCGCTTGATTTCTGTTAGATACGTTAGATAGATATGTTTCTGTACAAGAATAGTATGATCAACCTCAGTATTCTCATTTAAAGCAGAATGAATAAAGTTTACATAGGACAACAGATTAGACTCCACCGATCAAACACCTTGGGGATGCTGAAAGGGTAGAAATAGGGTACCAACTGTTTATCACCGGATTTAAATATTGGAATAACGAAAGCCGTTTTCCACATACTTGGGAAAACACCTTCAAGTAAAGACTTTGACAGTGGCGTTGACAGCTCAGTAGCAAACTCTTTTAAGAATGAAGTTGGAATACCATCCGAGCCAGGGCTAGAAGACCACGGCAAAACTCCAGACACATGGGTAACCACTGAGCTGTCGATTGTGCCATCTACAAAAACAGACGATAAGTAATCCAGTCAACTATGGTTCCATCAAAGGAAGTCATTGAGGCTGGCAAGCCGGATGAAAGCTTGCTGTTAACAAACGACCATATCTTCTTTGGCTTCCCCAACACATCTGCCCGAATAGAACTTAGATAATCTCTGTAATCAGCAGCTATCAATTTCTTAGATCTACGACGCAAAATTGAAAAAGATAGATAATCACAGTTCCATCCACTGGACTTCCACTGGACTTTTGTGAAATTATAGCTTTTCCTTAATAATACGAATAGTAGAACGGTTGTACCAACAAGGGAAGCTTTGTTTAGGTAAAACTATTATACAGTGTTAAATGATAAAAAGGAATAAAACTTGTTAATATGTTTTTATAACTTACACTCTTTCAATCATTTCTGGAGATAAATATAAATAATAATATCCAATCATAATAACAATAATTCCACCAAGAAGTGGGATTAACAAGAGCTTTGTGTAGTATTCTAACCAAGCGTAATGAAAAGCAACTTCAGATCCGTAATATTTATAAATGATATGAAGCGGTTGGAATTTACATATCATCCACCAACTAGCCCAGTATCTTGCCAAAATCTAAATTAATAAGAAATAAGTTAATTAGATTTAATACGATTTTTTTTAATGATTAACTTGTCTGTCATTTAATGGACCGGAAGTAGTCCACTCAGCTGGTCCATCATGTAAAGGATAAGCATCCACAAAATTCTTACTCTCTAATAAATTGTCTAATCCCTCTTCGTATTCTGAACTTCCATACGACGTTCTTTCCATAACACACGCAACCAAAGTGATTTTTTCGCAACTCGTAAATGTTACATTTTCTTCCCCCCTCACAGATCGACTAAAAATTAAAAACTAACTCCAATTTAATTCGAATTAAATAATAACAAACCTGCATCTTTGAAATATTGGATCTTGAATAATCGGTTTTAAAGAAATAACTGTTTTCAGGCATTTGAGCCACCTTGTATACTCCGGCATGGTGTTATCATGTTGATACGTTGGAAATAAACCGTGAATACCACATAAACGTTTTAAGACATCATCGGGCGCCTTAATTTTAATAAAAACTAAATCCGTGTATCTCACTCCATCGACATATTCAACAGTCAATCCGGATTTTTTTAAGTTCGATATGAACTTCTTGTTTTGCATCTCGGCAGCTTCCGATATTATCTTCTTTTGCACGATTATGAAATCGGCCGGGGGTTTTACTTCCGGTAAAAAAATCGTTTCATCTCGATCGATTGCCTTTTTAGTTTTCATTTTTAAAATGACAAAATGACTAATAAAAAACAAAAAATTAAAATAATATGTTAACTTAATCTGATTGAAATATTTTTAAATCAGACTAATTGTATTAGTTATTAAGAAATTTATTAATAAAACGTTCGAAACCATGTGCTAAAATAAATAAATTAAATTTTTTATTATTATTAATATTGTATTATATTTTTTATTATTAACTTCTTTTGAACTAAAATAAAATCTGCTGGTGCTTCCGCTTCAGGTTCAAAAATTACACCGAATTGCTTTTTGGCCATTAAAAGATTCTTTTTGATCCCTTTCTTTGAAGTATTATTTTATGTTTATGACGTTTATGGTTGACTAAAATTGTCATTTTAATGTAAACATCATAGCTAAGTAAAGACCATGCTGACAAGATTATCTATCATAAAATACAGTCGCTGTTTGGAAAAAAAAGCATAGTTGCAGATTGAAGTCTGAAAGCTGCAACTATGTAAATTGTAGATACATATATACTGTAAATTAGTGGTGGAACGGATATCCGGCAACTATGTGTTTTGAAAAATCACTTTCAGTTCCTGAGAAATAAATTTTTGAAATGATCGACAATTTTTTCCAATTTTGCAATTTTCGCGGATTAACTTTTAAAAATTCATATAAAATCGATTTCTTTGAATATGAGTATGAAAATTTCCTAAAATGTTAATAAAAGTGTCCTCTTTCCAATGAACCAACACGTTTTGAAAAATAACTTTTAGTTTTTGAGAAAACAATATTTGAAGTTTTGATAATATTTTCGATGTTGCAATTTTAATCGATAACTTTCAGAATTCGCTATAAAATTGATTTCTTGAAGGATACTTGTGGAAATATCACCAATTATTAATTAAAGTATCCTCTTTTTAATGCAAAAAGCGGTTTTGAAAAATCACTTTCAGTTCTTGAGAAATAAATTTTATTTTTGAAATGATGGACAATTTTTTCGAATTTTGTAATTTTCGCCGATTAAGTTTTAAAAATTCGTATAACATCGATTTCTTGGAATATGAGTATGAAAATTTCCCAAAGTGCTAATAAAAGTGTCCTCTTTCCAATGAACCAACACGTTTTGAAAAATAACTTTTAGTTTTTGAGAAAACAATATTTGAAGTTTTGATAAAATTTTCCATGTTGCAATTTAAATCGATAACTTTCAAAATTCGCTATAAAATTCATTTGTTAAAGAATCCTTGGGGAAATATCACCAATTATTAATTAAAGTATCCTCTTTTTAATGCAACAACCCGTTTTGAAAAATCGGTTTTAGTTTTCGAGAAATAAATTTCCGAAATTATCGACAACTTTTTCGAATTCTGTAATTTTCGCCGATTAAGTTTTAAAAATTCGTATAAAATCAATTTCTTGGAATATGAGTATGAAAATTTCCCAAAATGTTAATTAAAGTGTCTTCTTTCCAATGAACCAACACGTTTTGAAAAATAACTTTTAGTTTTTGAGAAAACAATATTTGAAGTTTTGAGAAAATTTTCGTTGTTATAATTTTCATCGATAACTTTCAAAATTCGCTATAAAATTCATTTCATGAAGGATCCTTGTGGAAATATCACCAATTATTAATTAAAGTATCCTCTTTTTCAAAAATCGCTCTTAGTTTTTGAGAAATAATTTTTTTAAATGATCGACAATCTTTCCGAGTTTTACAATTTTCGCCGATTAAGTTTTAAAAATTCGTATAAAATCCAGTTCTTGGAATATGAGTATGAAAATTTCCCAAAATGTTAATTAAAGTGTCCTCTTTCCAAGGAACCAACACATTTTGAAAAATAACTTTTAGTTTTTGAGAAAACAATATTTGAAGTTTTAAGAAAATTTTCACTGCTGCAATTTTCATCGATAACTTGCAAAATTCGCTATAAAATTAATTTCTTGAAGGATCCTTGTGGAAATAACACCAATTATTAATTAAAGTATCCTCTTTTTTATGCAAAAAGCCGTTTTGAAAAATCACTTTCAGTTGTTGAGAAATAAATGGTAGAAAAATCGTTTCATTTTTAAAGTGATAAAATGACTGATAAAAAAGACAAAATTAAAATTAAATTGTCAATAATATGTTAACTATGTAAATCTGATTGAAATATGTTTAAATTATACTAATAGTATTATTTATTAAGAAATTTATTAATAAAACGTTCGAATATTTATTTTTTTTCTTTTTTACTTATTTTATCAAGTTCCTTCATTCGCTTCGCTTTGTCGTCCTCGAATAAGCTTTCTTCGATTAAAGCGGGCATTTTTGGGATCAAATATGATAAAATTGCATTAATGAAATAAACTATGTGCTAAAATAAATAAATTAAATTAATTAAATAAAATTAAATCAATATTTACGATGTAAGCGACGATCGCAAGGAATTTTATGGAAACAAGCTCAAAATGTCTGTCGGAAAGTTGATACGGCTTTGTATGGTTGTAGCTGTTTTTATTGCCAGGATAAAAACAAATTTTTACATCCGGATATTTCTCTCGTATATTACTTTCCATGTCATCTCTGAAATGATCTACTAAGAACACTGATAAAGTATCATTTACAAATCCAACCATAGTTTTGCGTTCGTTGTAATAAACGGTGCGATGAACGAAAGTTGATGTAAAACAAATAATGCAACCCTAAAAATTTTAATTTAACTTATTTAAGTTCATTTTTTTAATAAATAAATTTATTTACACTGACAAGATAAGAAATTCGTGTAACAACGAGTAAAACAGTCTTCCAAGCACCCAACCCAAGCACTCGCTTCGAAACGTTTCTTCTCGTTTTTTTAACAAGCGTATAAGCTGTTACTCTCAATTCAACGATGTTATTAATTAACGCGAGAAGAGGCACAAGGGGAACAACCCCGACGAAAAATGTTAATAACCCATATTCAAGTATTACCACCATCAAACTTTCAGCAAAAAATAATTCGCTTGATGGGATTAAAGAAAACTCGACTTCCCATTGAGGGAGATCCGTCAATTCAAGGGGTGCTTTTTTTACTTTTGAGCAACACTTTTTAATCCATCCATACAGGTTTCTTAAAATTAAAATTAAAGAGTAAATAAATAAAAAAATTAAAATCCTTACATAAGACGATAACTATTAAACAGCAAGATCAAAATGTAATCCCTTAAGATAGTAAACGAGATGAGTGTTGATAAACTATCGATGCAACCAACAGCTGGGGGGCAAAGGTTTGAAGCAACCCCAAAAAATTTATTATAAATCCCGTGATCTGACGGATTGGTGTAACAAAGATCTTTAAAAAACGCCACGTAAATTAACATTAAGTAAGTGTTAAAGAAGTTGAGGATGTAGCTTTTAAAGATATACGACGTCATGTAACTGTCTTGAGTACGATGAATTTCGTTGTTTGTAAGCTTTTCTGATGTTTTATCTAAGCCCTAAAACAACAAAAAATAAAATTTATTTATATAAAGAAGAAAAATTAATAAATTAATTACAGGGGCGTATAATTTCATTATCACAATCGTTACCAAAGCACTATAAAGTTTCATAATCATCGACATCCACTCGATCAAAATTCCTATGCGATGTTTATGAACATTGTATTCTATGAAATGTTCCGAAATCATAATCGCAAGGGCTGTGGCGGTAATAAGCAAAACCTTTAAATTAAACATAATTATTACCCCAAAAAAAAAAGACCAATTAATTTACTAAAACAAAAACTACGATAAACGACAGAAAATTCCTCCAAAACTTCAAACAAAAGGGCGTGTAATATTCCTCAGTGTGAGTGTATTTATTATACTTTTTATATTTACTAAGTCGTTCTTTATAATTCGGCCTTAAATCAACCAAAAAAAAACATTTATAAAAACATACTTAATTATTTCTTACAATTCATCAACTTGCGGTGTTGATTTATGCAAATTCCACTGATATGTTAAAATGTTTTCTTGGCGAGCCCAGAATTCCAATAAAAATGTTGCTAAAAAATAAGAAAAAATTAATTCCTCCGAATTAAGTAACAAAATAAAATGATACATGCCCCAAATTGTTATAAAAATAGAGAAAGAAATCGTGTAATTATTGTCTAGAAGAAAAGAGGTTTTGGCAATATCGCAAAATTCGTCGAATTCTTTGTAACGACAATGCCTAAATGTACAAGGTGGGCATATTTTCATTTTTGAATAACAAACTTCTCTTCTAAAAAATTAAATTAGTTTAATAAGGAGCTATTTTATTTATTTAAAAGGTTTCTGATATGATTAATATTAGAAAATAAGTACAGTAAAATCTCGATATAATGGGTTAATACGAAACAACTAAAAGTAGAGCTAGCACTAGAAGTAGAACTAGAAAGTTTCAAGCAAGGATATAAGATACCGGGAAAATATGACGTACTGCTACTAGAACACTAGATACTTCTAGGAGAAGAAAAGATATTACTTGCAGAAGACTATATACTACTGCAGAACACTATATAGCTGATAGTAGGGTAGATACTGCTGACAAAGAACTAACTATGGAAGTTAAGTTGATAATCAGTTCGATTTGTGCATTTTGATTGAATGCTTTATAAATCGTTTATAGATGATATAAATAATGTAAAATAGTGTGAACAGTACAATATTTTTGATATTGATAATATAAATCATACACGCGATTTATAACAATAAATAACAATTCAGGAATTCGTAATTGCTGTTATAACGAAGTAAGTAAATCGGAATGCGCAATAATGAGTGTGAAATAAAAACAAACAATTAAGTTGGTCAATAACATAGAAAAGTTTACTTCAAAAACGGATATGGAATTCTCCCTGTTAAATTATCTAAAAAAAGAAAGAACATATTCCGCCGAACTTAAAAAAGAAATCCAACAAATAAAGGAGCAACGCACTAAAGATGAAGCTACTCTTCAGAAACAAATAGATGACCTGAGGGGATATAAGATATATATATATACATATAACCAATATATATAAGATAACCAATAAAGTGGTGTACACAACAGACGAAGATGAGTTAGCTTTGGAGACTGACTGGATAATAAAACAAGCTAAAAGAAACAAAAAACGTAAAACTGAAACCTCGCCATCTAAACTGTCTTCGGAAAGTGAAAGCAAACCGGAAAAGCAATCCGTACAATTTGGCGTAAATAACAAAACAAAGGTATTACTACCCCCACCAATATTAATTTATAATGTCAAACAATATGATGACATTTATAAATTAAGGAGATATCCATATTTAAAAGGTTTCTGATATGATTAATATTAGAAAATAGATACAGTAAAATCTCGATATAATGGGTTAATAAGAAACAACTAAAAATAGAGCTAGCACTAGCACTAGAACTAGAACTAGAAAGTTTCAAGCAAGGATATAAGATACCGATAGAAGATTAATTAAAGATGGATTTTTAACACATGCGCTAAATAACGACACAGTAAAACTGAATGTTAATTCGGAAGAAAAGTACAGAGAAGCTTACTTAAAAGAATTTGTCCTGGTCAACTTATGAAAATAAGCAAACCAGAAATCAGAAAGTGGTCGCCAAAAAGATGCATAAAAGCTGTGATGTTAATGATATCAAAGATGATCTATTGGAGCGCAAGTGTAACATTTGTGAAGTAACCCAAATGTTAAAGTACAAAACAAAAGAGCCTCTTCTTTTATACATCTTGGATTTTGCACCGTCAGAGGATGTAAAAAGAATCCATGAAATAACAAACATATTAGGTGCGTGTCAAAATCGAAGAGTACAGAAAGCCAAAACAAATGCCCCAGTGCAAAAGGTGTCAAGGTCCCACACCAAAGCTTACTGCCACAAAAATCTGAGATGTGTTAAATGTGCTGGTGAACACTGGACCAGCGAATGCACTAAAGCCAAAGAAATACCGGCTATATGTTTCAACTGTGGAGAAAATCATCCAGCGAACTACCGAGGATGCATTGTGATTAAGCAACTACAAGCCATCAGGAAGAAGAAAACAGTAAATTCAAATAAAATAAAGCTAGGCGTCTCGTATGCCGAAACAGAAACTGCAGCGATAAGAAGGCTGACAGTAGATTAGATCTAATGCTAGAAAAAATACTGCAACAAGATGAAACAATAAAAACATTATATGCACGTCAAGATTTTATTGAAAGCAATTTAAACCAGCGATTCAAAAAGAAATCAAAACGTCTAAAAAGCAGCAACTAAAAATAATGCTGTAGAATACCAATGGTCTTCGACAACATCAAAGACAATACCAGAAACTTTAACAGCTACATTCGCAGATGACACAGCGATCTTGGCTGTTGCAGTAAATAAGTTACAATTGGCCTTAAATTTAATAGAAAACTGGACCAAGCGATGGCTAATAAAACTAAATACAAATAAATCGATTACATAGTGTGTACAGGGTGTCCAAATTTCGATGGGTTTACAGGGAATCTCAGTTATTATGAAAGATAGAAAGTTGCGGCTTTCGCGAACGTGAGCTACTTTTTTGTGAAACTTACAATGGCGCAAACCAAATTTCAAAATTTACGATTTTCAGACACCTCCTGTATCTCGGCTATCCGGAAACGTAAAAACAGGTTCTAATAGATTTTTTCACGTAGAATCGAATGGTGCACGTAGAATTTTTTGTTTTTGAGTTATAAAGAGTTAAGTATTTTAGAAGTTGAGTATTCAGTATTTGAGTTGTGTTTATAACTCAAAAACCGTGATGACTAGAAAAGTGCTTGGTCACTCAAGTGTAAGAACCGTCCCAAAGCTCTTATACAAGGCGTCTCTAACATCAGAATAAAATCAGCAAACAAAAAAACGAATGCAATAATGCCCGGAATTACTAAAGGAACACGTATACACAAGCCAATCACTATACATGATCACATAATTGATACCTATGTATCAAAAATCAATCCTAAACCACGGGATCGCCAAAAGCTCATAAATTCCCTCAAGCGCAAATTCATAAAACATCATTAAGTAGACATGATTGTCTCATTCTCTGGAAACTATATGTATATCATCATGATTGATCTTGAAGACACTTCTAAGCTTTCCCCAACCGAANTATACATCTTGGATTTTACACCGTTAGAGGATGTAAAAAGAATCCATGAAATAACAAACATATTAGGTGCGTGTCAAAATCGAAGAGTACAGAAAGCCAAAACAAATGCCCCAGTGCAAAAGATGTTAAGATTGGAGCCACACCAAAGCTTACTGCCACAAAAATCCGAGATGTGTTAAATGTGCTGGTGAACTCTGGACCAGAGAATGCACTAAAGCCAAAGAAATCCCGGCTAAATGTTTCAACAGTGGAGAAAATCATCCAGCGAACTACCAAGGATTCATTGTGATTAAGGAACGTCTAGATTTCATTGAAAGCAATTTAAACCAGCGATTCAAAAAGAAATCAAAATGTTTAAAAAGCAGCAACTAAAAATAATGCTGTGGAATACCAATGGTCTTCGACAACATCAAAACACTACCAACTACCAATAATACTTAAAGAAAACAATATTGATATATGTCTTATCTCCGAAACCCACTTTACACGAGAATCGTATATAAACATCAACCATTACAATATTTATCACACAATTCACCCGAGTAATGCGGCTCGAGGTGGAAGTGCAATTATTATTAAAAGAAATGTTGACCAGAAAAACGGAAAGCAAGAAAGAAATGGCAAACCAATAGAATTCCTCAAGGAAGTGTGCTTGGCCCAACACTGTAGTTACTCTACACATTCGACCTTCCTTAGGTACCAAAAATGTTAACAGCTACATTCGCAGATGACACAGCGATCTAGAATTTTTCTAGTTATCACGGTTTTTGAGTTATAAAGAGTTAAGTATTTTAGAAGTTGAGTATTCAGTATTTGAGTTGTGTTTATAACTCAATAAAACCGTGATGACTAGAAAAGTGCTTGGTCACTCAAGTGTAAGAACCTTCCCAAAGCTCCTATAAAAGGCGTCCCTAACGTCAGAATAAAATCAGCAAACAAAAAAACGAATGCAACCCAAGCCAATCACTATACATGATTGATACCTATCTATCAAAAATCAATCCTAAACCACGGAGTCGCCAAGAGCTCATAAATTCCCTCAAGCGCAAATTCATAAAACATCATTAAGTAGACATGATTGTCTCATTCTCTGGAAACTATATGTATATCATCATGATTGATCTTGAAGACACTTCTAAGCTTTCCCCAACCGAACTAATCTACGGTACTCAATCCTCGATTTTACAAGACCAACAATGTCTAGCATAAAATTATTATATGCAAACATCAATAGTTACCATCCGAAAGCACAACTAATTGGATATTACATTATGGCAAATCACATACATTGTTCGATGTTCGTGGAGACAAAATCAAAATCTTATATTAATTTTAAAGATTGGACGACAATTCAAAAACAGGATAATATTGTTAATAGGGGCGTCAGAGGCGGAGCAGCGGTTATGGGCCACCAAATCCTACAGTTAGAAAAGTCAAATTCTCCAAGTATCAACTCGCCATTGAATAATGCTCTCCACTTCACCGTTATGCTTGGCGCGAACAGGCTACACATATTCCTGATTTACATCCATCCGTTCAGCCAAATTGAAGAGTCAATATTTAACATGGCCTCTCTGTTCAATAATTGCTTAATAATCGGAGACTTTAACCCGAATCCAGCTAAGAAAAGACACATCAGTCAATTCCTGTTTTTGTCAAATTTTGTACAAATCAAGACACCTCGCACATACGTTATGGAGAACAATCCGAACTCTACTTCAGACCTGCTTTTCTGCACAAGAAATATGAGGCATCGAATCCCCCTGGTAGAGGTCGTTCCTGATCTGTGGTCCGACCACCTGGCTATTCTTGTTCACATCAACACAACATCAAAGTTATCTAAACCTGCTCCAACTGTAACTAAAAATTACAAACTTTGCAAGAGGGAGAGAGTCAACTTAGCAATAAAAGGCTTCATAAGAGCAGATCCTGTGATTACACCGGAGTTGATATCAAAGTTTAATGAAAAACTTAAGAAATCGGTAGACGAACAGAGCCCATTTAGAATTTGTAAATATTACACCTTTCCGTTACCACCATTCATCATTCGCCTAATCAAAGATAAGAGAGGGCTGTACCGAGACTTTAGAGCATGCGGGATCCCTGAACTGAAAAAAAAGTTTAACGAGCTCAACAAAAACTAGTACAACGGAGAAATATATGGAAGCCTGCGACAAAATCAATTCATGTAAGAGGAAAAATTATTAGCAGGAAGTTCGTAAACTGTCTAGATACTAAAAGTTTTCTGAAACAAAAGAGCTCACCGATCCCACTCATAGAACTTCGCATTCAAACCCTGAAGAGATTGTTAACATCCATGTTGACTACCTGGAGGAAATATTTTCGTTTGGTGAGGATGCCTCATTTTGTTCCCAGAATAGAAGCACAATAGACAACTAGTATCAACTTGCTTTTATAAATCCCTCTGATACACCTGAGGTTGCTATTATGCTGGAGGACGAGTATTTCACTCTTCTAGGCCATGGAAAGAACACGGCTCCTGGTTATGATAACATCTCGAGGAAGGTGCTGAGAAGCTTGGATCTTGATATTCACTCCTACATCAGGCAAATAATTAACTTCTGCCTCATGACTCAACATTTCCCACGAGACTGGAGGACCTCTATCATAATATGCGTCCCACAAGAAGGATTCCACACTTTCCGACCCAGCAAACTACCACCCCATCTCACTGCTGCCGGTGATAGGAAAGCTTTTCGAGACACATCTCAAGAACAATCTCCTGGCTGTCGTCTCAAAGAACATCCCACCCTACCAATTTGGATTCTAACCCGGCAAATCCACATTCCAGCCACTTACGGTATTGATTTCCAACTTTCAAGCGGCACGCTATCAAAAACGTAAATCCGCTGCTGTGTTTCTGGATGTCCGAAAGGCTTTCGACTCAGTCTGGCACAACGGCCTACTATTCAAACTGGATAAGTTAAATGTTCCATATTACCTCCTAAACTTGATAAGGCAATTCCTTTCAGATCGCTCTTGTTCTGTGAAGCTGAAAAACCATCACTCCCGCAGTTTCACCATCTAACAAGGCCTCCCATAGGGATCTCCCATCTCCCCTTCTCTATACAACGTCTTCTGCTACGATATTTATGACAACAATTCAGGCGCCTTTGATGTGAATAAATACACTCTACTCTGCTGTTAATACAGCATCAAAACTGATAAACTCCATCTCCCACCGAACTTTTTGCGACAGATGGGATGGGACAGCAGTAGGTGCCTTTGCTAAGAAAACTCTGCTCTACCCTGACCGGAAGACATGTACTCAGTTTCTGGGAAAATCGAAAAGTGACTTGAGGCTTCTCACCCACTTCCTGACCGGACATTGCAGGTTACGTAAGCACATGTTTTACATGAAGCTGGCAAATACACCCCTCTGTAGAGGGTGTGAAATGGAAGACGAGACGGTAAGTCATATTGTTTGTGACTGTCCAAACCTCGCGTACTTAAGGGAATCTATTTTCGGAGTACCATGGCTCTAAATTTCGGATATAAGGAACATACCTCTCTGTTCTATATTAACGTTCATGAAAAGATTGGGCTGGTTTTCTGACCCTTGAATGAACAGTAAATTGTGGGGACGTACAAAGAGTCCGCTGGGGCCTAAGTGCTGTGAGTAAGTCACCCCCACGTGAAACTACATACATACACACACTCTACTCTACGCCGATGACACAACACTGATTTCCTCACGACAGGGCGTTGCCTCTCCGGTCCGAAACCTACAGGTGCTTATCGATGAAACAAAGAGCTGGTGCCGAAAATGGAGCATTCAAATAAACTCCTCAAAATCGCAATTCTTCATCCCTTTCCTCCAAGTCCACGCCCCTTCTGCTACAATCACAATCCAATCTACTCCCCTATCAGTCTCACCAACCTGCAAATACCTAGGCATAACACCCGACAGAACCCTAAAATTCTCTGCCCACGCCATCAAAGTGAAAAGTGAAATCTTGCGGAAGTCGCGGAATTTCCATAAAATGTGCCTCGCACATTTACAAATCCATATGCAGACCAATTATAGAATATGGATCAATACTTCTAAATGACTCGCCTAGCACATCAAGACACCATTTAGAAGTCGCAGAAAGATCGGCATTGAGGTCCATAATACGAATAAGGAATCCCCAAAATCCTCTTTTCAACCCTAGCAATGATCTCCTTTATAATCCACTAATATCCCTCCCATTAACTTCCATCTACAATCTTTATCTCTTAAAACTACCATAAATTTCCCTATCAATCTTTTCCACCATATGCTCATTATCCCTAGAGTAAACCACCCATCTGACCGCCCACCACTCCTTCAAAAACTGTTGATGATAACTAGAACTTGCACCACGCATTTCTGCATGGGCAGAAAGAATCCGGTCGATAGCCCTATTTTTGGCTGAGTTTTAATTTATAACTTTTTTTGTACTTATATACTCCTTTTTTTTTAATTTATTTGTATTTTTTGCACATCCAAAAATAAAATTTGTTTTCTCTCTCTCTCGATTACATAAACTTTACTTATAAGAAAGTAAACTATGTCCCAGGACACATAAATGGCAATGCAGTCCCTTACGCTGACACCGCAAAATATCTTGTTATGACGCTGGATGCCAAACTCAAATGGAAAGCTCACGTCAAAAAAAGAACGTGAGGAACTTGATATCAAATTTAGACACCTATATTGGCTTATTGGCAGAAAATCAACGCTACCACTAAGCAACAAGTTGCTATACAAGCAAGTATTAAAACCAAAAGGAACATGCGGAATCCAACTGTGGGATTGTACCTGCAAGACAAATGCAAGTCTGATTCAAAGATTGCAGAACAAAGTACTAAGGTGCATAGTGAAAGCACCCTGGTATATAACAAACACCGACCTCCATCGCGACTTGAAAGTATTTGTCTATATTATGGGTAAAGCAGACTGGACCACTAGGAAAAGCTGCAAAACATTATCTAGTTTAATTTGGTGTTAAAAATAATTAGTATGTATTTACTAGATGTTATACAACTGTGATATGCATAATATAAAAAAAAAAGTGATCAACCGTGACTACTTACACTCGATTAATAACTCTACCAGATAAAAATAAATCAAAATTTCCAACTAAAAAAACAATCACTCCAAATAATGCAGGAATAACCAAACATTTCGTATAAAATTCCATCCAAGCGAAATGAAAAGCAATTTCAGATCCATAATACTTATAAATGATATGAATGGGTTGTAATTTATAAAACATTCGCCAATTACCCCAAAATCTAGCTAAGAACTGAAAAGAATTAATCGTATTAATCATGTTAGAACAGATAGAAAATAATTAACTTGTCTATCATTTAATGGGCCAGTTTTAGTCCATATTTCTGAACCGTCATGTAAAGGATAAGCGTCCTCAAAATGTTTACTAGCCAATAAATTTCCTAAACCAAATTCATCTTTTAATAATCCATAAGTTGTTCTTGACAAAACAGCGTTAATCAACAAAATTCTTTCGGCACTTGTAAACGTTACGTTTTTATCACCTCGAACTGAATTACTAAACAAAACAAATTATAAAATTTAAAGGAAAAGAGATATGTATATATAAATTAACCTGCATCTTTGAAACATCGGGTCTTGAAGATTCGGTTTTAACAAAATCTGGGTTTTAAAACATTTAAATTTCGTTGTATAATGCGGCATGGTTTTGTCATGTTGGTAAGTTGGAAATAAGCCGTGAACGGATGAGAGGTGTTTTAAAGATTCTTCGGAAGCTTTAAGTTTAACGAAATAATAATCGGTGTATTTTACGCCATCAACGATTTCAACGGCTAACCCAGCTTTTTTTAGATTCATTAAAAACTTGTTGATTTGAACCTGCTTTTCTTCTGGTATTATCTTTTTTTGGACTAAAATAAAATCTGCTGGCGCTTTCACTTCAGGTTCAAAATTCAAACCGAATTGCTTTTTGGCCATTAAAAGATTCTTTTTGATCCCTTTCTTTGAAGTATTATTTTATATTTATGACGTTTATGGTTGACATAAATTGTCATTTTAATGTAAACATCATAGCTAATTAAAGACCATACTGACAAGATTATCTATCATAAAATACAGTCGCTGTTTGGAAAAAAAACCATAGTTACAGATTGAAGTCTGAAAGCTGCAACTATGTAAATTGTATATCCATAAATATATAGTGTAAATTAGTGACGGAACGAATATCCAACAACTATCCGGTATCCGGCCTATCCGACCATTTTGATAGTTACCAAATTTCCGGCTTTGGCCGGATATTAAAAACCTATTACTTAGTACTCCACCATTCACAGGAATTAGAATCTCTTTTAGGTGTTGGACACTGCAGATAATAATCAAGTTCAACCCCAATAGAACTTTTTTCATTGAATACAACTTTATTTACATCAAGTTTGTCATTGTAACAATCCCAATACGATATATAAAATCTCTTGTTGCAGTTTCGTCTAGTTTTCTTCTCTTCGATTGTAATTCATCATCACATTCATTACTAACAGAACTGTCGCTATTATCACTTTCGATTATTAATTAAAGTATTCTCTTTTTAATGCAACAAGCCGTTTTGAAAAATCACTTTCAGTTCTTGAGAAATAAATTTTTGAAATGATCGATAATTTTTTCGAATTTTGCAATTTTCGCCGATTAAGTTTTAAAAATTCGTATAAAATCCATTTCTTGGAATATAAGTATGAAAATTTCCCATAATGTTAATAAAACTGTCCTCTTTCCAATGAACCAACCCGTTTTGAAAAATAGCTTTTAGTTTTTTTGAAAACAATATTTGAAGTTTTGATAAAATTTTCGATGTTACAATTTTCATCGATAACTTTTAAAATTTGCTATAAAATTAATTTCTTGAAGGCTCCTTGTGGAAATATCACCAATTATTAATTAAAGTATCGTCTTTTTAATGCAACAAAATGTTTTGAAAAATTGCGTTTAGTTTTTGAGAAATAAATTTTTGAAATGATCGAAAATTTTTTCGAATTTTGCAATTTTCGCCGACTAAATTTTAAAAATTCGTATAAAATCGATTTCTTGGAATATGAGTATGAAAACTTCCCAAAGTGCTAATAAAAGTGTCCTCTTTCCAATGAACCAACACCTTTTGAAAAATAACTTTTAGTTTTTGAGAAAGCAATATTTGAAGCTTTAATAAAATTTTCACTGCTGCAATTTTCATCGATAACTTGCAAAATTCGCTATAAAATTAATTTCTTGAAGGATCCTTGTGGAAATATCACCAATTATTAATTAAAGTATCCTCTTTTTAATGCAACAAGCCGTTTTGAAAAATCATTTTCAGTTCTTGAGAAATAAATTTTTAAAAGGATCAACAATTTTTTCGCATTTTGCAGTTTTTGCCGATTAAGTTTTAAAAATTCGTATAAAATCCATTTCTTGGAATATGAGTATGAAAATTTCCCAAAGTGTTAATAAAAGTGTCCTCTTTCTAATGAACCAACACATTTTGAAAAATAACTTTTAGTTTTTGAGAAAAAAATATTTGAAGTTTTGGTAAAATTTTCGATGTTGCAATTTTAATCGATAACCTTCATAATTCGCTATAAAATTCATTTCTTGAAGGATCCTTGTAGAAATACCACCAATTATTATTTAAAGTATCCTCTTTTGGATACAACAAGCCGTTTTGAAAAATCGCTTTTAGTTTTTGAGAAATAAATTTTTAAAATGATCGACAATTATTTCAAATTTTGCCGATTAAGTCTTAAAAAGCTTTAGCTACTGATTACATTATGGTTTCTCACGAAAGACTGCAGATAGCAGCTATACACAATTATACCTACAATCGATAGCTATAAATTATAACCTGCGTCATAGCTGCAAACTGCACACTGCAAAGTATAGCAACATTCTACATTGCAAGTTATAACTACAAATTATAGACAAATAAAAAATTTATTATTTTTTTTTAAATTTAATTAAACATTTCCCGTTATTGCTTCTACTTCTTTCGTTCTTTTAACCATTTCATCGTACGCTAAATGTTCTCTAATTGATGCAGGTTCCTTTGAAATCCAAAACGATAAAATACTACTAACAAAATAAATTAGATGCTAAAATAAAAAAAAAATAATTTTAAATAAATTAATCTAAAATATCTTACGATATAGACAACGACGGTGAGTAATCTTATAGCGAGAAGTTCGTAAAATCTATCAGATGCTTGGTATGGATGGGTATGATTAAAACTATTTTTATGTCCAGGATAATAACAAGTGTGAGTATCAGAAAATTTTTCTTTCAGTCTATCCTCCATATCATCTCTATAATCTTCGATTAAAAACACTAAAAAAAAATCGTTAAATTAATTTGAATAAAAAAATTAATAATTTAAATATTCACCAGAAACAGTATCGTTTACGAATCCCTTCAAATCACCGTGTTCAAAGTAATAAACGGTTCTATGAACGAAAGATGATGTAAAAGAAACAATTGCGCCCTAAAATTGTAACTATAATACACATATTTTTTAAGTAACATCTCAAAACTACACTTATAAAAAAGGAAAATCGAGTTATAACGACTAAAACCCATTTCCATGATCCTAATCCAAGCACTCGTTTCGGAACGTTTCTTCTTGATTTTTTAACTAACTTCATGGCCGTTGCTCGCATTTCAACGATGTTGTTAATTAATGCTATTAAGGGAAGAAATGGGGCTGCTGCGCCGAAAAATGTTAATAATCCATATTCCACAACTAAAAAATAAATTTAATTAAAAACATAATTTATTTGGTTCGTCTTTATTCGACTATTCGTATAGCTTTTAATTTTGAATGTTGTGTAGTGTATCCCAAAGTGTAATTTGCAGCAATATCAATTTCTCTTGCCATATATGCAACTGGTTCCCCTTTATCTATGGGTGGACACTCACTTTAGACCGTCATATACCTTGCCAGCCAGAAAGAAAATCCACAGCTTTTTTGGATATAGGATATGCAGATATGAAAAGTATAATTGATCAGCAACTGAAACAGGCTGAAATTCTTCATTTGCAAAGTGATGGATGGAGTAATTTACGAAACGAGGGTATAGTAAATTTTGTAATATCAAAACCTGAATCGGTGTTTGTGGATTTTATTTCTACAGGGTTTAGCAAACACACAGCAGAATATGTTAAGAGTGAAATAAAGAAGATTGTTGATAAATTTGGCGCCGCAAAGTTCCTTGTGGTCATCTGAGACAATGCTGTTAATATGAAAACGGTATTTAGGCTTCTACAAGACGACTATCATACCATGGCTCATACTCTTCATCTTCTGTGCAACGATATCTCAAATTTTCCACCTATAGAGAAGTTAATAGCAGATGCTACACATATAGTTAATGCAATAAAACGATCCCAAATCTTATGTTTTCTACTTGTGGAAATAAGCAAAACGAAGAAGTGTAAAGTTAGTTTGAAACTAGCATGTAAAACGCGCTGGGGAAGCCATCTCTACTGCACAAAAAGCTTAATATCCAACAAAGTTAGTCTTCAAACTTTAGTTGTTCACGAAAAGGCAACGTCGTTGGATAAAGATATTATATTGTTTCACTATTGTTTCACTAATAACTACCCTAGAATCAAACACCCCGATGATCCACAAAGTGCACGGTGAACTCTCTGAAATATCCTATATCCTATATTTGCTATAAGTCCTATTCATCTTGCCGCTGCACTACTGAATCCTTGTTCTAAAGGAAGCAGTTTGTTAACGTCGGAGGAAGTAGACGCAAAGAAATTTATACACAACCTATCCCAGTTAATGCACTTAGATGTAATAGCAGATTTGGTAAATTATAAATCATATGATGGAGTGTGGGCAAAAAGATTCATGTGGACCAGTGTAGTAAACATGAATCCATTTGCATGGTGGAAGGGCCTGTGTAGCAGCTCCAATCTGAGTAAGGTTGCTGTTAGGATTTTATCAGCCCCAGTGTCGTCCGTGGACACAGAACGGACATTTAACACATTTTCGTGGATACATAGCAAGAAAAGGAATAGGCTGGAAACAGAGAGGGCTGGAAAAATTACTTTTATTTCCCATAATTGGAAATTAACTAATTCTGAAGTAACAGAAAGAAACGGGGGAACAAACAAAGGCAACTACAAACGAATCCATCGAAGGAAGCACAGAGGATTACATTACATAGAATACATATCGGGTAGGCGGACCAACCAACCTTGCACCGCGACCCTAAGGATCTATTGTACCCCGATAGATATCGTTATCAAATTTCACTGTGCAGTCCAATGCTCTTAACGAACATTAATACCTTGCTCGGCGAAAGGTCATTCAGATTCTTTGAGGAGATAAACTGCGACCCAAAAATCGAGAATCTGATACGGTTAACGGCAGGGCAGTGGCATAAAACATGCTCAACCGTCTCTGCTTCCTCCACACATAGTCGGCATTCAACATCGTCGGCTAAACCCAACAAGTTGAGGTGTGCTTTTAATCGGCAGTGCCCAGTAAAAACACCCATTAGAACTTTTATACTACTACGGGCAAGTCCTAAAATATTCCCTGGTTGGACAGTGGCGATGTTAATAAACACCTTAGCATGTCTCATTCCAGGAGAACTGGTCTACAGGCGAAGTCTCTCTTCAGCCCGCAGTCCAATCCTATATTTGGCCATCGCAAATGATACACCAACTGCTGGTTCCCGCCCCACAAACGCTTCAGCGCTGCCAACTCGTGGTAGCTTATCTGAGGCTTCATTGCCAGCAACCCCAGAGTGACCCGGGACCCAGATCAGAGAGACTCTCAATCTGGTATCGAGCATTAATCACTGATAGTAATACCGCCAAATCTGACGGCATTGATAGCACAATATCAGTTTTGAGCATATTGCTTAAATCTGTAAATGGTTGTTCTAGCCACTTTCTCTATATGCAAATGCAGAGGAGATAGGCCAAGCAGAACCTCCATTGCTAGAGTTGGCGTTGTGC